CCAATCTTTATGATTTATTATTCATATAAGTTAACTGTCTTGAACTTTTACAGTTTAAGAGATCTTGTAATGATAACTTCTAATTTTGAGGACCAGAAATCCCGTTACCGGAAGTAATTTTTTTAAAAGATATTTAAGGTTACTCTACAGTCTGAATAACATGTCCTAAAATAATTTAAATACTCTTGTCATGAAAGATAATTATGGTAGTATTATACTCAATTTATGCAGTTTTTCTCTCATAACCGGAAGTTGTCGTTTTTGTTTGCAGTGGGACTGACATATTTCAAAACAGCAAATAAGATGCTATAGTGTATTACTAGGAAAGAATTCATAAAGAAAAGTTGAAATTTTCGATTTCTTTGATCACTTCCTGTAACGACCGGAAATGACGGCAGACAATTTTATCCCAAATTGGTTCGTTTACTTATCAAGATCTATCACTCCTATAAGTTTGGTTTCCTTATCTCTTACCGTTTACGAGATCTAGCTATGATAACTTCTCATTTTGAGGACAGAAAATCACGCGACCGGAAGTGCATTTTCAAAAGATATTTGACGTTACTGTAGAAATATGCAGTCTGAATAACATATCAAAAAATCAGTACAAACACTGTATCTATAAAAAGTATTTATGGGAAAGAAAAATACTCAAATTATGTAGTTTTCCTCTTATAACCGGAAGTTGCCGTTTTTGTTTCCGGTGCGACTGAAATATTTCACACTGCAAGTAAGATGCTATAAAGTGATGCAAAAAAAGTTTCAGAAATTTATGGTCACTTCCTGTGACGACCGGAAGTGACGGCGGACGATCTTAACCCAAATGGATTTGCCTACTTATCAAGATCTATCAACCCTGTAAGTTTGGTGCCTTAATCTCTTACCGTTTCTGAGATCTCACTCGGATTAGATATTTTTCAAAAAAGCGAAAATCGGACAAATCTGACGACCGGAAGTGAATTTTGAAAAAATGAAAAAAACGTCTCGGGGTATTATTATTCTCTATCATCCCTGAAAATTTCAGGAAAATCCGTCCAGCCATCTCTGAGATATCCTGCCGACAAGATTTCGGAAAAAAAATAATAAGAAGAAGAAACTAGAAACTCTTGTTGCTAAAGCAACAAAGAAGGTCTTCCGTTTTCCTCAATTTATCTACATGAATGAGCTTTAATCTATGTTAAAAAGGCATATAATATTTTTAATGATTTCAGGCAAACAAACAGCCGGAGGTGTAATTTACCAAGATTCTTCACTTTACTTTAGAGAATTATAGTCTTAATAACATGTACAAAAATCATTTTCAATTTTTTATCACTTCCTGTGACGACCAGAAGGAACGGCGTACGCATTTTACACTATATTTTTTGCCCTATCTTCATGTTGTTTTATTCATATAAGTTTAGTGTCTTGATCTGTTACAGTTTAAGAGATCTCGTAATATTATCTTCTCATTTTGAGGACAAATAATCACGTGACCGGAAGTAAATTTTTGAAAAGATATTTGAGGTTACTCTAGATATTTCAGTCTAAATAACATGTCCTAAAATCATTTCTAATGCTCTTCTTATCAAAATTAGTTATGGTATAGTATAATACTAAATTTATGCAGTTTTTCTTTCATAAGCGGAAGTTGTCCACTTTGTTTCCAGTGGAACTGACATATTTCAAAACTACAAAAAAGATGCTATAATGTATTACTAAGAAAGATTCCATAAGAAAAGTTTTTATTCATTTGTTCACTTCCTGTGACAACCGGAAGTGACGGTGGACAATCTTTTCCTGACTAGTTTTGCCTACACATCAAGATTTACCACTTGTAAAAGTTTGGTGTCTTAATCTCTTACCGTTTACGAGATCTAGTTATGATAACTTCACATTTTGAGGACAGGAAATCACGCAACCGGAAGTGAATTTTTTAAAGATAGTTGGCGTTACTTAAGACAGTTACAGTCTTAATAACATATCCAAAAATCATTACAAATACTGCATCTATAAAAAATATTTACTGGAAAGAAAAATACTCAAATTATGAAGTTTTTCTCTTATAACCGGAAGTTGTGTTCTTTGTTTTCGGTGTTACTGACTTTTTTCAAAACTACAATTAAGATGCTATTGTGTGATAAAAAAAAGTTTCCATAAGGAAAAGTTGAATTTTTGGACTTCTTAGATCACTTCCTGTGACGACCGGAAGTGACGACAGACGATCTTATTCACCATGGAATTGCTAACTCATCAGGATATACCACTTGTCAAAGTTTGGTGTCTTACTGTTTAAGAGATCTAGCTATAATAATTTCTCATTTTGAGGACAGATAAACACACGCAACCGGAAGTGAATTTTAAAAAAAATAGTTGATGTTACTGTAGACATTTGCAGTCTAAATAACATATCCAAAACAGTTGCAAACACTTTATCTATAAAAAATATATATTGGAAAAAAAATATTCAAATTATATAGTTTTTCTCTTATAACCGGAAGTTGTCGTTTTTGTTTCCGGTGGAGCTGATATATTTTGAAACTACAAATAAAGCGCTATAATGTGATGCAATAAACGTTCCATAAAAGAAAAGATGAAATTTCCGATTTTTTGACCACTTCCTGTGACGACCGGAAGTGACGGCGGACAATCTTAACCCAAATGTTTTTTCCCTTTACGTCAAGATATAATACTCCTAAAAGTTTGGTGTCTACATCTCTTACCGTTTTAGAGATATAGCTATAAGAACTATTCATTTAGAGGACAGGAAATCACGTGACCGGAAGTGAATTTTCCAAAGATATTTGACGTTACTGTAGTCATTTGCAGTCTGAATAACACTTCTAAAAATCATTTCGAAAACTTCATCTATAAAAAATATTTATGGGAAAGAAAAATACTGAAAATATGCAGTTTTTCTCTAATAACCGGAAGTTGTCGTTTTTGTTTCCGGTGGGACTGACATATTTCAAAACTACGAGTAAGATGCTATAATCTGATGCTAAAAAACTTTCAAAAAAGAAAAGTTGAAATTTTCGATATTTAAGAACACTTCCTGTGACGACCGGAAGTGACGGCGGACGATCTTAACCCAATTGGATTTGCCTACTTATCAAGATCTATCATCCCTGTAAGTTTGGTGGCTTAATCTCTTACCGTTTCTGAGATCTCACTCGGATTAAATATTTTTGAAAAAAGCGGAAATCGGACATATCTGACGACCGGAAGTGAATTTTGAAAAAATGAAAAAAACGTCTCGGGGTATTTTCATTCTCTATCATCCCTGAAAATTTCAGGAAAATCCGTCCAGCCATCTCTGAGAAATCCTGCCGACAAGATTTGGGGAAAAAAATAATAATAAGAATAATAATAAGAAAAAACAGTAGAATCACTATAAGGTCTTCCGTCTGAAACGGAAGACCTTAAAAACAGTAGAATCACTATAAGGTCTTCCGTCTGAAACGGAAGACCTTAAAAAGAAACAGTAGAATCACTATAAGGTCTTCCGTCTGAAACGGAAGACCTTAATAAAAAACAGAGTAAAAACAATATGTTCCCCAACTTCGTTTGGGGAACATAATAATAATAAGAAACAGAGTAAAAACAATATGTTCCCCAACTTCGTTTGGGGAACATAATAACTGTCTAAATACCATTTAGGCCATAGAGTGAACAAGAGAGAATAAAAAAAATCAAATGTATTTTAACGTTAACTTTTGATTTAATGGAAAATTGGAATGAATTTCAATATCAAACACAACGCTGTCAACAACTGGCATCCTCTTGTAAACCATAACTATCTACGTATATACATGAAGTATTAATTTATAATTCCTTTATATCATGAAACCTAATACATTTACATGTAGATGGGGACAAGCTTACCATTGAAAATGAGACGATTGGGGTATTTTTGATTTCCTCCATATTGTGAAACCTAATATACATTGTACATGTATTAAGCGGTAGGTAAAATATCTAATAATTGAAAACGAGACGATTATACTCCGCTGATTCATCCGCTGTGACCTTGTGGCTTAACCTCTTTGTATTGTTCTGGGGAAGGAAAGAAAAGTTTTATTTTTGAATTTATTTTTGAAAAATGAAAAGGGGGTGGAATTACATGTGCAATAATAATATTATGAGAAACAGAAAGCAAGTAACTTATTTACTAAAATCTATTGAAATGAACGATTACAACATTGTCTTATTTTCAATCAGTTTTTCTTCTGATTATTATGAATATAATTAATTGAGAAAAAAAAAGAATACATGAAAACTGAAAAAAAATCAAGTATCCATGTTTTACTTATTCGTTGTTCATTTTTAATTTTTTTTTAAATCAACCAGAAAGTTTTTCATGACTATGTTTACAGAATTATTGTCTTTTATACACTAACTTGAACATTTCACACAAAAATTATTTATAGATCATTATTACTTCAATGTTCGTCAATCAACTATGTCTGCTCTTTTTGTAAATTATTTATAATGGCTAGCCGTCGTGTACAAGATGGATTACTTGGCAATCTTATGTATAAGCACAAGACATGTACATTTGTAAATTGAGAGGGTCATGGCTACATTTAATATCAAGGAAAGGTCTTAGTTTACATTAAACGTTTGATTCTAACAGAAATTTAGAATTTTCCCATGCCTGCCTGCTGACACAGTTCAAGCTTTTAAATCAATTTGAGCTGCAACTTTGATGTCGAAATTTTTTGTTGCAAAATTGTAAAGAACTATTTCAATGACAAAAAAAAAACGTTAATAAACTTCTAATAAACTTTTTTAATGTTTTTCAAATGGATTATGCATCATTGATAGAAACCAATTTTTCATTGCTTTGCTATGAACATGAGTGGGTGTATTTTATTTATTTCCTTCATTAATTATCACAAATTTTGATGAAACATAAGGCACAGGTTAAAAATTAATAGGAATATATTTTCTAATTGTTTTATATAGGGATTATCATCCGAGTCTATAAACCGCACTGTCATTTCTTTGTCTATGTCCTTTCTATAAACGCCCTCAGGATATGCTAAATTACTTTACTTATGACTTGACTTCCCTCATGATGCATAAATGACATATCGCTGACAACTCGAAACAACGGACATGTTTTTTTCTGTAACGCCGAAATAGATTTTGTTGTTGACCCTTTAAGAAATGGCGGATTTAAGTAAATCGGACATTTTCACTCGATTGTATCTTGTATTAGAAGTGACAGGATTTCTTCTTCATCTGCTGGGATTTTGTACTCCGTACTGGCGATCTCTCCATTTTAAATACACAGAGGATGTTATAAAAGACATTGATATAGTGATCCAAGGTTTTGACGAGGGGATCTGGAGGAGGTGTGTCAATGGAATTTGTTCTGATATCAACATTGTTGGAAGAGGTAACCGAAACTTTTTAACCCCCCCCCCTTTTCCAAACTGAAACAGAAATCTATTAAATAAAAAACGAACTTAAGAACTTTTTATTCACATGTAATATAAAGGGCCTTGTTTTGTCATGCAGTTCAACAAGGAACTTGATTTACTAAATAATTCGTTTTTTTTAACTCAGTATTACATGTAACTGTTTTAACAAATTCTTTTCGAATTTCATTTTTTTTTTACTTAATTTCCACAAGTTTCAGTATTAATCCCCTTTGTCTATTGTAGATTGGCTACAAGTTGTGAGGGTTTTTGAGATTATTGCCCTTGGAGCATCTCTATTCGCCACATTTCTTGTCATTCTGAATCTTTCTGTGTCCAGATTCTCTGACAGCAAAAGAATTTATTTTTTGGCGCTGTTGTCTTGCTTTGTTACAGGTAAGAGATGTTTCATAGAATAATCAATTAGAAGTTATTATATTAATAGATTAATTTGATTAAACGAAGAAAAGTAAAGGGTGAGAATAATAAAGAACATGTTACAATTATTTAGCGCAGAAGGTGGGGGTGGGGCTTAGTGCTTTTAAGACGGAGTAAACTTTATTCAAAACTTTGAAATATTCTGTGTTAAAAAGTTAATAATATAATTATATTCTTGCTTTAAACGTTTCTCATAATATTTTGGAATTTTTCAAAAATTAATTTTCAGCTGGAAGCATTCTGCTGTCCGCAATTGTATACGGGGCATCCGTCAGAGAAGGAATCACTTGGTCCTATGGATGTGTTGTGATTGCAGGAATATTTTTCATGGCGTCGGGAGTGCTGATGCTGACAAATTACTTTACAATGCGTTCCAAAAAATAATTGTGCTTATCTATCCTACTTATTTATCTTGACAGTTTACATTTAGCTTATTAACATTTTAAATAACAGACAGACACTGTGCTAATATAAATAAATTCATGTAATTCTTTTTAAACACAATTTTCATTTATTTTTTTTTTTTGAATAGTTATTGTTTTATGTTACTATATACAAGGTTTAAATTTTTCATTTTAATCAAAATGTTTGTAAAATAAAGTAAAAATGAATAAAACATTATTTTTCTAAGGGATTTATTTTCTGCATCTTCGAATTCTATCTTTAAGTTAGAGTTTACATGTTTTCCTACTGTTGTACAGTGTACACGTACAAATTTTAAACCGAGAGTCTAAAAATGATTGTTAACAGTATATTGGGGACATCAGTTAAGTTAAACATCTAACGCTTTTCCCTTTTGTAAACATGCTTTGTAAATTGGTTATTGATGTTCCATTCTGAAAAGATAAAGCATGATAAAACTGTAATGTATCAAAGGGGAGCAATACAACCAGAACCTTTAAGACGTTCTAAAATGTCATGACTCAAGGCTAAGTTTAAAAGTTTTGAGAATAAAATATGTTCGATTTACAACAACTTTTTAGTAAGTCATTTACATGTATAACATTCAACTTTTTTTTTTAATTGCCTCGGGATCGATGAACATAAAATACGCAAACCACAACAGCCGGAAATTTCTCACGAATCTGTCGTTGTGAAATGTAGAAGCTAGACATGGGAAAAGAAAGCGTTAGATTAAGGAAATTGAAGGTTAATTTTTGGGCAAACATCTTTTGCTTCATATTATGTTGTGTTCACGCACTATCAAGCTGTCTTTCTCCTGAATCTGTCCTCGAAACTGCACATTCAACTTGTATTGTTGCTCTCGTGACTAACAGTTGTGAAATTGATAATCAAATTTATGACAATTCCCAATTTTCTGACCTTAAACAGTTATTGATACGTAAAGATTTAGGAATTCTAGTGGGGTATATTGACATAAATAGTAAGTGGCCCGACGGGAAACAATTTCACGGTGAAGGGGTAGAGGCAGGAAAAATTGTCTTATTTAAGAAAGTCCCGAAGGATCGAACATGTCTACTGCCATCTCCATCTCAGAAGAGCTTGGTCCCGCTTATTTTTAATGGTGTGAATGGACTGACAACTCTAATAGACTTTGTCAATGATGGATGTCATACCTACATGTCACCAACTGGGGGTCCTTCTATTGAGGGGCTACATAAAGAGGAAATCCACAGAACAAGATTTTATGTTCAAAATATTTCAGACGTGCAATCAAAAGATGTGTTTCAACCAGTGAATCAGAATTGTAAAGTTATAGATCAACCCTGTTCATCAGACAATCATAATTTTCATGTTCACAACAATAAACCTAAAATTCCAGAGTGCGAGAGAATAGATTTTCCTTCCAAGGATGACTTTTTCCATAATTATGTAAAAATATCAAAGCCAGTGATATTCAAAAATGTTTTAAGAGACTGGCCAGCTTTTACAAAGTGGACAAACAGATATTTCCGAGATAAATTTGGGAAAAATGATGTCCATATCAAGTTGACACCCTTGGGTGAATACGAAGGAGTTGAGCCACGATATATGTGGGAAAATCACGAAAAGTTTGAGATTCCCAAATCAGTAGAAGATCAGTTGCCCTTTCCTGACTTAGTAGTTGTTAGACCGGCCACTAAGAACATGAATTTCTCAAATTTCATGGATATAGTTGAAGGAGTATCCAATGGGACTATTAATGATATGTCGGCATATCTGGAGTATTCCTCCATTCCCGATCACCTGCCAGAACTAGAGGAGGATATAAGAGAAGATTTACTATTCAAAGGGCTCCTAAAGAGAAAACATCTAAATATATGGCTAAGTGATGGAAGAACTTTGGGAAAGCTGCATTTTGATCAATTTGACAATCTACTTTGCCAGGTACAGTAAGTTAAACGATATTACAAAGATGTTCACATTCAACATATTTAGTTGTCATATTTCGAAGAAGTTTAGAAAATGCTATTGTGTAATTTATTTATAAACCAATTAACATTTGTATAACATCAATGTGGTATCTGCATCCTTTTCAGATAAGTGGAAAAAAGCAGGTGATTTTGTTTGATCCTCACAACAATCATCAGATGTACGAGGGACACATTCCAGAGGCAATCCTGTCCTACGATCAGACCTCCAATACATTCCACCGTCGCCATCTACTGGAAAGCACGTCCATGGTTATGTCCCCTGTTGACATCCAGAATCCAGATTATTCTGTAAATATATTTAGCAAAAAAAATCTATGAAACTTAATTAAATTCCTCTGGGATTGAAAAATTGATTTTTATTTAGTGTCAAAATAAAAGGATGACTGTGTATGACTTCTGATATTTGATTGTAGACAGTGAAAGATATTGTCAGAATGTTAATGTTCTAGCGCTGATAACGGCAGCTTGCACTGAGAAAGATTCTGGATTGTTAAGGTCTGCTGGGTTAATAATGTATTGTAAAGCGCTTTGAGTAGCATTTATGCTAGAAAAGCGCTATATAAAACAATCATTATTATTATTATTATTACTACTTAGACACTTTTTCTAAAATTTAGAAAAAATGCCTATTTGATAATAAGCTTTGATTTTCCTTTGACAGAGGTTTCCACTGTTTGGAGAAACTTACCCCATGAACTGCACAATAGAAGAAGGCGACATTCTGTACATGCCTTCATTTTGGTGGCATGAAGTCCAGTCCTTTCCCAACAAAACAGCAGGAAGAAACCTTGCCATCAACTTTTGGTAGGTTATTTTCTTTCAAAGATTTTTACAATAATTAATGTTAGTAGGCAGGATTACTTTGATAATAAAAGTACATGTAACTTCTCTGAAGTTGTCTCTCTTTTGGTAATTCTGTAGACTAACCATCTACTGCCTTTATCTTTCCAATGATGATCTGACCACCTAGAGGAAATTGTAAAAGAATGCAATACACCAAGCCATATGATTGATACCTGTCAGTTGCTTTGCTTTTTTATGCCCATCTGCAGAAATTTCAAGGATTACATGTATATTCTATATGCATTTTGTGTTCATCTGTTGGTCTAGCTGTTAGCTACTGGGTATTTCTTTCTAGCTCAATTACTTTTCTAGAATTCACATTTATTCAAATGATTTGCCAGTCTTCCTTTAATAAAGGAAAGGTGATTGAGAAATAGGGCCAGTCACCAGTAAGGGCACATTTTGTTAAATCTCTGCAATTACAGTGTATCTTGGTAGTATTGAAAAAAGTGGTCAGAATTATTCTCAGCTCCAATGTTTTGTAAGAACCATGACCACCTGATTTTTCCCTTAGCTTGATTCCAGATTGATTAAAATAGTAATTTTTTTTCGTAACTCCAAATGCATTTGTTATACCCCATGGAACAATTTGCGTGAGGTATAATGTTTTTGACCCGTCTGTCAGAGTGTCAGTCAGTCAGTCAGTCCGTCAGTCCTTAGTTTTTGTCAGCGCAACTCATAAACCGCTGCACAGAATTTTGTCAGACTTTTCAGATATTTAGAACACAATGTGTAGATGTGCATATTACCAGAAAATTTTGATTCCTTTATTTTTTCCGGGAATTTCTGCACTTTTTAACATAGGTTTTTGGCCATACCTTGAATATAGAGATGAACAGTTTGTCAGCGCAACTCCTCATAAACCACTGCACAGAATTTTGTCAAACTTAGCAGATATTTAGGGTACAATGTGTAGATGTGCATTTTACCAGGAAATTCCGATTCTTTTATTTTTTCCGGGAATTTCCACACTCTTCAACTTTGGTTTTTGGCCATACCTTGAATATAGAGATGAACAGTTTGTCAGCGTAACTCCTCTTAAACCACTGCACAGAATTTCGTCAAACTTTGCAGATAATTAGGAAACAATATGTAGATGTGCATATTACCAGGAAATTCCAATTCCTTTTTTTTTCCAGGAATTTCCACACTAAAAACTTAGATTTTTTGGCCATATCTTGAATATAGAGATGAACAGTTTGTCAGCGCAACTCCTCCTAAACCGCTGCACAGAATTTCATCAAACTTTGCAGATATTTAGGACACAATGTGTAGATGTGCATATTACCAGGAAATTCCAATTCCTTTATTTTTTCCGAGAATTTCCGCACTTTTCAACTTAGATTTTTGGGGATATCTTAAATATAGAGATGAACAGTTTGTCAGCGCAACTCCTCATAAACCGCTGCACAGAATTTCATCAAACTTTGCAGATATTTAGGGCACAATGTGTAGATGTGCATATTACCGAGAAATTCCAATTCCTTTATTTTTTCCGGGATTTTCAGCACTTTGAGTTTTGGGGGAGCATGGGGTATGTGAGCTTGCTCACTTTTTCTTTCATTATTTTCAAAAATTTGCTCTGTTATATCATCAGAGATTCTTGTGTAACTAACTAACCAATTGCTATCTGTTTTGGTCAATGTTGTCCGTCACAACAATAAAGAAATAGTGAACATTGGGTGGAGCCTGCAAACAAACTTCTAAAGAAGCAACATTATAATTTGATAAAATTATATGGGAGCTACATGTACCTTGTATCAACCAAAAAAAAAAACAAACAAAAACAAAAACAAAAACAAAAAAGAAACAAAAACAGAGTTCACACATACATTGTGACACTAGAGTGACCTTTTCCATCTGTGGGCCTTTAATAGAGAAATATTAAGGTAGCTGATATGATCATAAATCAAAATAGAAAGCTAGCTTGAGGTACCAGTTAAACTTTTGAAAATCACTTATTTAATTTGAGAAGTTTATATATGAAATTGAGCATTTGAAAAATATCGATATTTCTTTGATCGAGAAAAGTAGCCATGTATTTTGTTTTTTTACAGGTATGATCCATTTCTAGTGAGAGAATTCCCTTGCCCAGAATGTCAGCTTGATGTAAACCCACAATACAGACATTTATTATGATATACATGTACTAGTATTAGAATTACATTTAATTGTCTCAGATATCTCAATCTTCATTTTTAAATAAATTGATTATTTTTTATTATTTATCAATTGTTTTAAGTGTTTAAATATCTAATTGATCTTGAGAGTAGGATTTAATATAATGCAGTAGCTTTATTTTCAGTTTCTCTGAGAATGTACACATTCAATAACAGGTGTGCTAAATTCACAGTAGACTCTCTGATCTTTTCTAGCTAAACAGGAACTTGTCCATATTTTAAATAAAAATCATTAAAAAGTCAATAATCAGGACCTTACCTTGTATTCAAAAACAATTTGGAATTGCTTAACTGAATTTATGCAGAAGTTTACCTTGGTTCCAAATGATACGTAGATTCGAAAAATTGCCATTCGTTGAGGACACATTTAAATTATTGTGTCTATTGTATCTCATTCCGTATGTGTATGCATTATCAGGATGTTTCTCGCTAGATTTTGTTCTAAGGCGAGCAAGGACTTCATGCATAGTCGCTTTTGTGACTGATGGGTGCACTGTTGTTGAACACGATCCATCTAAAGAGTATAAACAATTTCAATATATAAGAAACTTATTGCTTAGCAATAAACATGGAATCTTGGTTGGATTTATTGATATAAATGATGCCTGGCCCGACGGAAGTGAAGTTACTGGAAAACATGATGTTGCTATTAATATTGGGGATATAGTGTTGTTCGAAAAAATTACCAAGGACAGAACGGAAATATACCCAACTGCGCAACCTCAAAGTATCGCTCCACTTGTTCTTAGAAATGTATACAACATTGAAGAGTTGATACAATTTATAAATCAGGGTTGCAATACGTATCTTCATGCTACTGGTGGTCTGTCCAAACAAGGTCTTTACAGGGAGGAAATTCTGCAATCAAAGTTTTACGTTAAAAGTGTTTCAAATGTTCAGTCTAAAAAT